ATTTCCATTTGCTTTGCCACCAGCACAGTTCAAGTCATCACCTCTGGCTAAAATTCCATTTTCTCCACCAGTTTTTATCTTCTTCAGACTAGCCATAAATCCTTATGCATTTATCTCCCTAAAATGCTACTCACATCCTAACACACCCTCACTTCGGAATCCATAATCCATAATCAATCCTTTTTTGATGTCCAGTCTTTACATAAAGAAATTCTGAATTAATTCATCTGGGATGGAGCCCAATCATTAATTTTTCTTTCAAAACTTCTCAAATGCTTCTAACATGCAACCAGTTTTGGTAACACTGTTATAAATCTCTATCTCTATTGTCAGGCTGTAACTCCTATAGCAGACCCTTCCGAGTGTTCTGCCCATCCCTCTGACTTTTCTGTGTGCCTAACTTTGGTATGATTTGTGTCTAATGGACAGAAACAACTGCTGCTCTCTTCTAATGATAGTACTTGAGCTACTAGAACTACTTTGTCACTGCCCCTTCAGAGAAAACAGGAAAGGTCTGGAAGTTTACATTCCCTAGGAGAGCACTTAGTTAATGCCTGCTTGAACACAGGAGCATGAACATCTGGCTCCCTTACCTTGGTCTGGACATACTCAGGTGTATTACACTTGAGAAGTTCCTGGCAGGATCAGTCTGACACTGAGACTTCACCTATGCTTTGTTTCTTCCCCTTCTCTTTACTCTCTCACTCATTTCATCTGAAAACTCTTCCTTCAGAATTCATTTGCTTACAAATCCTCAGCACAAGATCTGCTTATGAAAAAAAAAAAAACAAACCAAAACAATACCTGTATCAAAATGGTTCAAAACATAGCTACATCATGTTTTCTGCAATTATTCAACCCCCCCCCCCCAGGGGAACTAGTTTTTTCATCCACTTATTAATCCACACCACTATTCTTGCTCTTTGCCCCCACCAAAGATACCTCTTCTCTGCCACTGTGACTACCAATACTTTCTATCTTTCAAAACAAATTCTACAAATCCCACCCGTGCCCAGCCCAAAGCCTTACCTACAATAGGTACTCAATATGAGTTGGGCTAGTGATTCATTTTCCATGAAACTTGCCCTGACAACTCTAGCACACATAATGTTATCCTCTCTAACTTCTATGTCCAATGTTGAATCCCTGCTATGCATTGATTCCTTCAACCAATATTAGTGTGATGTACCAGGAACTCATGTGTTTATCATAAGGAATAAGGACATTTCTGTTCCCACAGAGCTTACAGTCAAGGCATAAAATAATCATACAAATAAATGTTGATTTATAACAAAGAAAACTTAAGAAGGAAAGTCATATAGTATTGCAAAAGAACATAATTGTAATAAATGTCCTTACCTAAGACTTCTCTAATAAATAAAAAAGAAATGATAACCTAAAAATTAGAATTTTTAATTTAAAGTTTCTTCTTGACCCTCACCCCCTAAGAATTGCAAACAAATTTTGTGTAACTGGGTATTATTTTTTAATAGATTTTCTAAGTACCCATGACCTGAGTTTTACACAATATGAAGCCTATGCATAACCTGATTTATTAATTGCCTCCTACATGTGCCACATTAATAGATTTATGTTAAAGAAATGTTAACATTTTTCTTTTGTATATGACAAAATTTAGCATTAAGTTAGACCTACACTCATCACTTTAAACACATTTGTTTTCCTCCCTTTTTTCAGACTATTTCCAGAGAACTCAGATTCTCAAAATCAAATAAGAAAAGTTCTTTAATTTCTGTATGGAATAAGAGCACATTTTGAGTGGTTATGAGTGAAGTAAAAAAATATTATCTTGGTTTTGTGTGGATACCAAGAAAACAAGAGCAGATTAGGATCCATATATTAAAACCTGTTTTCTTTGGGCTAGAGCCACATAATTGTCACTACATTGCTTCTGAGTTCTGGTGTCTTCAGGGAGTTAAGATTTTCATTCTAGGCACTTCCTGCAACTTCTCCATTTTCTAAATCCTAACTACGCTAATAGACCCTATCAGGTAAAAGCAGAAAATATTCATTTCCTACAGAATAAGATGAATGCTGATTATTTAATCAATTACACTGATCATTTTAGAAGAAAAACAGAATGAAACACTAAAATTTCATTTCAAATGCCAATAGAAAATATTTGACTATACACATACTGAAAATGAATGTTTTATGTATATACATATAGACTAAAAATAAATAACTTTTATATGTACTAGAAATAAATATGCTTTCAATATATGTATATTTATAAATGCACTTTATATTATATATAGATATATAGGCTGTTTATATTAATTGTATATATAAACTACAAATTCTAATTTATATCAATAAATATGTGAACATAAAT